GCACAGGGCCCTATCCAATCTCTCTCTAACACAGGCCTCCCCCATGCACTTATTAGTCCAAGTGAATTGATCTCCCTGAAAACCCGGGTCTAGAAGGCCCAAATTCTGGATAAAATTATGGAGACTGAGGGCTTGCGTAGCATTCCAACGATTCCCTCCATCCTTCTCACTCTCATGGAGAGTCGTATTAAAATCGCCCAAAATAACATATGGGACTTGGATACCGGCACAGAGCTCACGGAGCTGGTCTAACTGAGTAGCACGACGAGTTACATTGCAACTAATGTAAACAAAGATCGCCACATACGAAAAACTCATTTCATTAACTTGAAGACAAATACAAAAATCCGAATGAAAAAACACCGAAGCAGCAACTTCAGGAGCCCACGCGACAACTAAACCACCAGATGCATCAACCGCATCAACAAAAAAACAACAAGAAGACTCAAAACCTAACCCACGCAAACGGCGGGACACTACACGCCGTCTCGAACGTGTTTCCGAAAAGAACACCAAGTCCGGCTTATTAGAGTGAACTAACCCAACAGCAGTTTGAAATGTGAGGGATGGGCCAATTCCTCTCACATTCCACGCCAAAAGCCTCATTTATCTGCCTGGGGCCACTCAAGGCTGGCTTCCTCCACCTGATCACCAACGTCATCAACTTCCACAAACTGTTTTTTCGGAGACGGGGGAAGGCCCAGATCCCCTCCTACATGCTCCAGCGATCGTTTTCGAGCCCCCATTGCCGGGTGCATCATATTCGATCCATATTCATCCAGGATTTCCTCAACATAGCCTTCTTCCCCAACCTGTCGCATCCCAGCAGCATAGTCACTCAGGGCCTTCTCTCCACCAGGGTGCTTCCTGGGACTCTCATGAGCCAAGCTAAGACCTGCCTCAAAAGCGGCCACAACTTTGTTAACCCGACCGGAGGGCATCGGAGCCTGATGTGTGCCACTCCCCAGAGGGATACGCTTCTTAATCTCAAAGCAGTGCATCTCCTCTTCCGAACCAGAGTCAGCAATAACCTGTTCCTCCTTGGGACCTCCATTAATGCCATTCTTCAACCCCTCTGATGGGCTTTGGGGTATGGTCGCATTACCATTCCCATGAACTTTCATTTTATAGGGTTTTGCTGCACTATGGGAGAGTCTCAACTTGCCCTTCAGCTTACCCGGCATAGACTAGGGATTCGGCTGCTGCTGTTGAGCTGCCATGCCAGAGGAAGGCCTCTCCCCACGCGGCATACACTCCAGCGGCTGTTGCTGAGCCTTCTCCCCCATGGCCACATTCGCACCTGGAGCCTGGTCCAGGTCTAGATCATCATCTGAATCATCTTCCAAGAGCAGTCGCTGGCGCCTGGACTCCTCTAGCACCGTCTGCATTTGAGGATGCATATCTGGCGAGACTTGGTTCCTGGGCTGGTCTGGTGAGTCGCCACGTCTCTGGGCCTGGCGCGGCTTATCTCTATTCCCACCCGCCAAGGGGCGACTAGGACCAGTGCCTGGACTAGTCCTCCGTAATTTCCTAGATCCACCACCAAAGCGGGCCACCGGAGATCGTCGGACTGGGAAGCCCTTCGGGCTAGCGAGCTTGGGCTTAGCCTTCGTCATGGGCCTAGGCGAGTTGGGTCGGCCCATCTGCCTAGGATGAAGTTGATCAGTATCAGGCCCAGGAGGAGCAGCCTCACCCGCCCTTAAGCCCTGTCCGCGACCTTTTTCCAAGCCAGTTCCTTCTCCTTGCTGTCGCACCTGCCTGTTAACCCAGACAGTATTTCGAGTACCACGAAATCCAGCATTTGACTCCACTTCCTCATAAATTTTGCGCCCCATATTCCTTGTAGTCATGTGGGGAGCAAATCTTTCTTTCCCCTTTGGAGGGTCAAAAGTACAATCACGACGAGCATGTCCCAGTCGGCCGCAATGATAGCAAAACGTCGGAAGGAATTCATATTTCAAACGAATCCAAAAGTAACTTGTTTCCTCACTGACCGCCATAAGTTGGGACCTCAGAGGTTTCGAAAAATCCACCAAAGCACGAACTTTCACAAAGCTTTCCCCCGTATCTTTGCATGCGAAGACACCGGACTCTAGGACTTGGCCAATGGTGGGAGCTACAACTTTCTGTCCAAATTCTTTGGTACAGCAATCCTCCTTCACATCCCAGAGCTGGATGCGGAAGGGAGCCACAGCAAGATCGTCATAGATCTGCTTAGTTATCACGGGAATCCAGGATCGAAGGTTAATCAATTTATCCTTAATCACCCATGGAGTTCGTTTCAATACCCAAATTTTTGATTCCTCGCTGGGCATCACGATCTCAATCAGGCCATGTTTGGTACGCGATACCCGAAGGTGGCCTCTCAATTACCACGCCTCACCCAAATCTGCTCTAAGCTCTTCATTAGTGAGCTGATTCCCCGTAAATAAACGTCCCAAAAGAGACCGTGATGCACGAAACTTTGAGGACTGGACCTCATCCAGGTTGAATTTCACAACCTGATCATCAGCTGCTCTTTCCATTGTTATTCCCTGAACCTGACACGGGTTATAATGAAAGACGAGGTTAGAATTCAAGATATTGATCCCCTGCCTCTTAATGGGACACAACGCAGGGGAGGCCGCAGTGGAAAGCCAAGATGGACTAGAGGGGAGAGGGAGCAAAACAGAGCAGGGAGGCGGACTGGTAACACCAGCCACCGTACCTTTGTTATTCTGGACGGCAGGCTGGAATGGCGGCTCTTCTCCGATTCCTTTACCACGCAGCAGAGCAGGTTTACAGAAAAACCAAGTCTGGGGGATAGGTTTGAATGAGAAAGATGGGGGCCGAGCTCCTCCCTTTAAAGCCATTCCAATCTGCCAGGTTCCTTTAGGTTGTAGAATTTGAAAAGGACTAGGAGTCCCAAGAGCAGTTTGATTCCGAAAATCCTCTGCTATTATTTTGTTTTTATTTTTATTAATTATTGATCCAGGCGCTTTCTTCAGGGAAGCAAACCCGAGATTGTTTCCCAATCCAGGCGCTTTCTTCGGGGAAGCAAACCCGTGATTGTTTCCCAATCCAAATCGGATCCCAACCGCCATACTGCTCCCCGTCCGAGTGTCTCGGGGTGGAAGATCTATGCCGGTAACCGACGAATCCGCCCCAACCTCTGAATCGGAGCCTTTGCCGGCGGTCGGATCTTTTTTTGCCGGCGGGGATAGTCCATCGTCAGCAGTGGGGAGATGAAACATGCGCTCGCCAGATGGTTTCTCTAGCCCATCATCCCGAGGGGTTGCTCGCACATAAACCCACTCTGCCGATTGCTTGACCCCAATTCTGATTGTGTGTACTGCGCCGCCATTATTGGAATCGATGGTGGATCAAGAACCTCCCCATCCAGCACAGACAAAGGGGGAAGCCAAAATCTCCACCCCTTCAAAGTCGAATTCCTACTTTTTTTAAAGCAATCAACCACTGGCTCCTGAGATGCACATAGCGTCTCTAGCCTTTTACGTTTCCTGCGATTAATCTTAACAGGTCGGGTCTTCCTTGGAGATTTGTTCGCCGGCCTCTGCGCCGCCGTCTCTTGGAGATCTGCAATCGGCGGGCGCTTCTCATCCTTCCCATAGCGCCGGTCGTTGCCTTCCACCCGGAACTGGGAAAGCCCCTGATTCTTCAAGCTGGTGGAGAAGAAGGCGATTCCCATCGCCCAAAGCCAGCGATCGAGCGCAGTGCTTAGCGACCAGAGGAGAGCGCTCCTCGCATGCTCTCTCTCATTTTTTTTTTTCCTTCTCTTCTGCCTCAATTTAGGTTTTTTTTAATTAATTGAATTGAGATATAAAATAATTAAAATCGAAATTTAGAATGTTTAGAGTTAATAAGGGGCAGTTGGGTCATTTTACCATCCATTAACTGCCTCTTAACAGATAGTTAAATGGAGGGGTAAGTTTGCTACGTTTTAATATTAGAAGGGTATATTTGTGTAAAAATTTAGTAGATGGGAACATTTGTTAATCTACCATAGTAGAGGAGTACAAAATGTTATTAACCCTTTTAATATTAATACAATTTAGGGGTGAATTACAAGTTTGGTCACTCAGTTTACCAATTTCTTTCATGTTTGACACTCAAAATAATTTTTCCTTTTATTGGTCGCAGTCTTATAAGTTATAATTCACCCAGTCTTTGGAATTTTAAGTTGAACATTTGAATATTGATGTTATACAAGCATGTGTGAATTTTCACTATATGTTGGATCCAAGTATGACCTGCTGATTTGGTGCAATGTGACATGTTACTACCCATACGTTAGATGAGATTTGATAATAAAATTTATAAATGTATCCACAACATAATGACTTTACTAAAATGATCGTACCAGTAACCCTCTTAGTTCAACCCACTTACTCAACCAGACCAACGAGGAAGGACTTATTCTCACCTGGGACAGGGTTTGGTGAGTTGGATTCGTATATGGATGGAATTGAGTTTCGTGGGTATATATATATAGTCAAACAGAAAGAAAACAAAGGAGGTCCTCCAAAAATATATTACAGATGGGGTTAAAGACACATTTGGTCACTAAGATTACTAAATCGGGACATGTTTAGTCACTAGAAAAAATTAATATCAATTTTAGTCACTCGAATTACTGAAACATGTCACATTTAGTCACTCTCTGTTAGTCTCCGTCCAACTCCGTTAATAAAGTCCGTTATGTACTGACATGGCTAACGGGAGTGCATAGTCAACGTCGTTTTGGGCCGGAAATGGTCAAATCTGACCCGCCACATCACTAAACCCGCCATGTCATACACCCAACCCACTAACCCTATCCACTAACCCAACCCTAGCCCACTTTAACAAAACAAAATTGGAAAACCCTAGCTCCAACTCGTTCTACTCTTCTTCACCGCCGCTTCCCCAATGAAACTACATTAGCAACAGTTGCAAGATCACCACGATGATGGGGACTCCCCGAATTCCCCTTCTTCCACCAGCAAGAAGAAGAAGCGGGTATGAGACTGCAACAGCAAGCACCCATTGTACAGGGGATTCAGATGCGGAGTTGGGGGAAATGGGTATCCGAAATCAGGGAGCCACGCAAGAAATCGAGAATATGGTTGGGTACTTTCCAAACCCCTAAAATCGAGAATAGAGCAGTCTCAGTTCCAAACATTTGCAGAGACAAAATCGAGAACGCTCTCAAAAACCCCAATCACCTCCCTTGTCTCTGGCTTGCTCTTGGTCACGCTCAAAGTAATCTTCCCCTTCGATTCCACCGCGTTCTTGACATTCTCCTTCGCCAGCTCTTCCTCATCCCCTCTCCCCGCCGGGGGCAGCGCCACCGCGTTGTCATAACCCTGGGACCCGCCTATGCCCTTTGGGTCCAAGAACGACGACCCTCTATAGATGGGAACCAAAAACTCGCCGCTGAAGCTCTCTGGTTTTCCAGAAGCAAAGAGCTGCTTCACCGTGAAGAGGAAAGGGACCCTCTCGCCTCCGGGGAGCTGGACGGTGACGGCGGCGTAGTCGATGCCATCTTTCTCCTCGAATTTCATGATGTCGTCGGGGGAGAACTCGAAGGGGCCTTCTAATCGTGATTTGCAACTGCTGCTAATGTTGTTTCATTGGGGAAGACGACGGTGAAGAGGAGGAGAACAAGTTGAAGCTTTTCCAATTTTGTTTTGTTAAGTGGGCTAGAGTTGGGTTGGTGGGTAGGGTTAATGGGTTGGGTGTATGACATGGCTGGTTTAGTGACGTGGCAGGTCGGGTTTGACCATTTCCGGTCCAAAACAGCGCTGACTAGGCGCTCCCGTTAGCCACGTCAGCACATAACGGACTTTATTAACGGAGTTGGACGTAAACTAACGGAGAGTGACTAAATGTGACCTGTTTCAGTAATTCGAGTGACTAAAATTGATATTAATTTTTTCTAGTGACTAAACATATCCCGATTTAGTAATCTCAGTGACCAATTTTGTCTTTAACCCATTACAGATGTATCAGCCAATTGATGATTTGATCCGTCTGCTAAAGCCGTTAGCGGTATCAAATTTACGAGGGGATTAATAAAAATCCAGACACACAAATTAAGAAAGAGTTCAACATTAATTATTAGGGGGACTCATTCTACAAGCAACGGATAAACGTTATAGGCTTATAGCTGCTATATGTTAAAGTGGATCACCAGAACCTACGTCGAAAAAGTCTTGGTTTTGTTTTGGTTAGTTATATGTGGTTGGTTTTCACCAGAATGTCTTGTTTGTTTACCGGCATGGGTTTTCGATTACAAAGTAAGCAAATTACAACGAGCTGTTGGGGACGCCGAATGGCAAACCCAGCTATTTGTGATAATCGAGATGAGAGGGTTTATAGAGACGGAAACAAGAATCGAAATACAACGAGATCTACGTGATTTTCTTGTTCGATCAGATCGAACAGAGGGTTAGTCCATGTGAAAAAGGGTTTTATATGTCATTTTTATTGCATGCACTTCATGAGATCTTGCTCAGTGTTGACGGCACGGTTGATTTCTGCGATGTGAGATTTCCCTAATGTGTTACCATACACTTATCTTTGGAACTCGACGTCCTCGTTGAGGTCTGTCCAACGATCGTTCAAGAGAGACGCGAAGAGGATGTGATACCATTTGTAACATCTCGAATCCTTTTCCCGACAAGATATTATCCGTTTTGTGTGTCTAGCTAGACTCTCATGATTTTGGCATTGGATTGCATATCAATGTGACTTCTCATAACTTCATAAGGCCATCCATCCTTGTAGTGTTCTGTAATGAGCATGTTTAACTTCGGAGTTCTTAAAAAACGGTTTCATTTCACCAAAAAAATGTTAGTCGAGAAGATATAATTAGTAACTTTAATATATCACAATATCTATAGAATGAATTAATTAGTAGCTAGTCCTGATCATTTGACCGAGTCTATGTCCATTTCTCAATAAAATATGTGGTTGAGAGATACTCATCATAAATGTTATTATATTTAGCTGTGATTGTTCATTTGTTCGACCCAGTTTATTTGTTTGACCCAGTTTATGAAAGGATATAGGTGTGCACTTATCTTAGCAACGGATAAGATATTTTTATATTTCCTAACGATATCAAGAGAGAACAAGCATCAGACATGTAAATCTATCCAGGATTCCATACAATCAACGTTCTAACGAAGCCACCCAACAAAATCGAAAGACTCTAACTCTAGATGAGACAAAAGCAGTGCTTTACTCGCCACCGGATAAAATATTTAACAACCGCATTTGAGTTAAGTACTTTATTCACATGCTAAGTACTTTACCCGTTGCCTCCGGTTGGATCCTCTCACTAAATTTGGTTTGGAGAAACTCGACCGAACCCAACCCGATTCAGTAGCAATTTCCAATTCAATCTACCAATCCAATCCAATCAATCTATTAAAATATCACCAAGTTGCAGTTTAATACCTATATTTTTTTATATTTCATAATTTGGTACCTAAATTTTATTTTTTATACGAAACTATCATTGGAAAATTATGTCGTGACACCTGAAATTTTTATTATGACATTTCAGTGCCCAAACTTTTTTTTTCTTTTACATATTGGTCTGAGACTTGAGGATGTTATTTGGATTCGTGGATCAATCTACCAATCCACTTTCTCCAATTCATGAATCCATCAATCCACTTAATCCGTAAATACACACAATCGATGTATCCAATCAATTTGCCACATCTAGTTGCAAGACATCGGTGCTTGGCCGGCACACAAGAATATATATATATATCACTTGGTGTTACATTGAATCGGAGGAAATCAAGCACTCAAATAAAATATTATCTCAAAGGATACACTCTTGTAGACACAGCAATAGTCCAGCAGCAAGTGATCATAAATTATGGCAGCACCACTACTGCTGATCGCCGGCGGGTTAGCCGTACTTCCGATAGCCATCAAACGCCTGATGATGAGCAGTAGTATTAGTGGTAATGATGATCGGCGGCGGCGGCCGCCGCCTTCGCCGCCGAAGCTTCCGCTCCTCGGAAATCTCCACCAAATTGGCAACTACCCGCACCGGACCTTCGTCCGGCTGGCGGAGCGGTACGGATCCCCTCTCCTGCTGTTCCACTTCGGCAGCCGGCCGGTGGTCGTGGTCACCACGTCGGAGGCGGCGCGTGAGGTGTTGAAGACCCACGACGTCGTCTCCGCGGGGAAGCCCGAGTTCGGAACCCTCAAGAAGCTTCTCTACGACGGCAAGGACGTCGCCACGTGTCCCTATGGCGAGTACTGGAGGCAGACCCGACGGCTCTGCGTGATGCACCTCCTCAGCAACAGGAAGGTCCTGTCCTGCCGTGCGGCCAGGGAGGAGGAGGTCGGGTTGCTGATCAATCGGATTAGAAAGGATGCTGAAAAACGTGAGGTGAGTAGCATACTTAATCCAATAATTAATCAGATCGACCAATAATTTCACTAAAATATCCGACTAATCTAGTTCATTTAGATTCAGTTGATTTAATTTATATTCAATTTGATTAGTCGATTGATAGATATTTAAAAAATTATAGTTTACAATCTTTAGTATTTATATTTTGAATTTTGAAACCCAAATTCTAGTTTTTATACGTAAAATATTATTGAAAAATGAGTTTCTGGTACCTAAAATTCTTTATGTAAACTTTTCAAAATTTTCATATTGGTCTAATATTTTTTTTTATAATGGCGATGTATATTAGTCTAATATTTAGATGTTACGTAGAATCATGAATCCAATCTATCAATATATTTAATCCAATTCATAAATCCACCAACTCCATTTGATCTAAATTCATGAATCCAATCACCAATCCATGAATACGATCCATTATTTGTAAAATTTAATTACTCTTGTCGTTTCTCTTTTTCTCACCTTATCCTCCGTCGGCTTTAAACCGATGTTTTAAAAGCTCTATCATATCATCTAGTATCGATGTTTTAAAAACTCTATCATATCATCCAGTCTGACCGAAAATACTAGATACCAAATCCCCAAACTGTAAGCCATTTCACTAGTACGAAACGGTTGGATCACAATTTTAACTTTCTTCTTAATAGTTATTTTTCTAAACCGAGTTTCGATGTGTTTCCCTTTGCGTTACAGCCGGTGAACTTGAGCGAACTCCTTTCCTGCCTCGCCAACGACGTCATTTGCCGGACAGCTTTCGGTCGGAAGTACAGCATCGGCACTACCGCCGCCGCCGGCCACCATGGCGGCGCCACCAACTTCAGGGACCAGCTGGCGGAGTTCATGGAGTTGCTGGGCGCTTTCAGCGTGGGCGACTTCATCCCTAGCCTCTCGTGGGTGAACCGGCTAACCGGGTTCGATGCCCGGGTCGACCGAGTTGCCAGTCAGTTTGATGAGTTGCTTGAAGGAGCCGTGGAGGAAGGTTTGGCCCGTTTGGAGAAACAGACGACCGATGTGGAAGGCGGCGGCGACGACGACGACAGCCAAGCACCCTTCATCGACGTCTTGCTCCGCCTGCAAAAGGACAGCTCGGAAGCGTTCCGCCTTGATAGAGAGGGCATCAAAGCTGTGATCTTGGTAATCTATATGAACTTCTCTCATCGCATCTCCTCTTCCGGCATCTTATACATAAGGGATAGAGATGATAATTTTCGACCTGACCTGTTCTGATTCGCTCCATTCTTCATTCATTTCTCTTTTACTAAACTGCTTGTAATTTTACTCGAATTAGTTGGAATTTCATTTTTTATATTTTAACTATAATAAATTTATACATAAGTGAGACCCTCAATTTTGAATAATTTAATTACATTTATCATATTATATATATATAGTTTGTTTCTTGGTGTCAATGAAAAAAGTAAATGTTTCTAATGTTTTTCATTTTAAACGACATACTCATATCGATTGACATGCTCCGACCCACACCACGTGTTAAATTACCCGAACTACCATGGGCCGAGTATGGGATCTTCCCTATTGTCATTCTAACTCATACACCCCCCCAGGGCAGTAGACTACGTTAGACAGCCGAAACCAATTTTAAACTAGACCTAAATTTTCCTTCCCATTCTTATTTTTAGATAAGGGTGATATAGATTTGTTTTCATTATAAGGTGTCACTTGAGGAATTCGAACCTATGACTTCTAGAGGTTCAAAACTAGTAGTGGTACCGGTATCACTAGACCAAGCTCTTGTTTGCTACACTTACAAGTTCTTAATTCGGAAATGATTCGCACAGGACCTGTTCGTGGGAGGAACAGACACGACATCGACGCTTCTCGAATGGACAATGTCGGAGCTGATAAAGCACCCCAGGGTGATGAAGAAGTTGCAGGAGGAGCTGAGAACCAAAATCGGCCGCGAAATCGAGACGGTCCACGAGGCCGACTTGGCGGAAGAACTGGAGTACCTGAACCTCGTCATTAGAGAGACGATCCGTCTGCACCCTCCGATCCCGTTGCTGGCTCCAAGAGAGATGACTCAGGACGCGACCATAATGGGTTACGACGTGCCATCAGGGACCATGATCATGACCAACGCCTGGGGGATTGGAAGGGACGCCAAGGACTGGCCCGAGTCGCCGGAAGCATTCTGGC